GACGTAAAGTTGAAGAGTAGCAACGGCAACCCATTTGAGACCGAGGATAACCCAGAAAAACACATTTATGAGACTTGGGAGCTAATTTATCCAAACCTGGACCAAGGTGATGAACAAAACACGTAGAACCAAACACATGTGGAGTCAAAGGATATAAAACTTGATGGGAAAATAAAATAGAGTGAGGTACCTGATGATTAAGAACAAATGATAGCATGCGATTAATGAGATAACATGCAATAAGTATAACATCACCCCAGAATGTGTATGGAACATTGCCATCAATTAACAAAGCAGGAGTGGTTTCAACAAGATGACAGTTCTTGCGCTCGGCTACACTATTTTGTTGTGGTGTATGAAGGCAAGATGTTTGATGAAGAATGCCATAAGATGAAAAGAATTGTTGAAAGTGATGAGATAAATACTCACATGCATTATCACTACGAAAAGTACGAATAAGAATACCAAATTAAGTTTTTATTTCATTGTAGAATAACTAAAAAATAGAAAATAACTCAGACCGATTTTTCTTTAAAAATAACCAAGTACATCTGGAATAATCATCAATAAAAGTAACAAAATACTTAAATCCTAAAGTAGAAGAATGACGACTCGGTCCCCAAATATCAGAGTGGACCACAGAAAAAGGAGAGACAACTTGACGACTCGGAAACGTACTACGAGTATGTTTCCCAAACTGACAGGACTCACAATTTAAATTAGAAAGAGATGATAAATGTAGAACCATCTTCTGAAGCTTTACAAGACTAGGATGACCCAGACGAGCATGTATAGTAAGAGGAGAATCCATAGTGGAGCAGGCTGAAGAAGAAGGAAATAGTTGATAGAGGCCCTGAGACTCACATCCTTTAGTAATCTCCTTCTCCGAACTCCGATCCTGAAAGATGACAGAGGTTTTAGTAAAAGAAACAACACAGTCAATGAATTTTATTAAACGACTAACAGAAAGTAAGTTAAAAGGAGAATCTGGAACATAGAGAACATGATCCAAAGATAAATGAGGTAAAAGAAGAACCGTGCCAATCCCACGTGATTGGACCAGAGACCCATTAGCCATAGTAATAGTGGGAAAAGAACCAGTGGTACAAATGGAAGTGAATAGGGACTTATTACCAGAAATGTGATCAGAAGCCCCGGAATCAAGAGTCCAAGGGCCTAAAGAGTGTAACTGAGAGATTCCAGCAAAAGAATTACCAGTGGGAGAAATGGATGCAGTAGGACCTGATGTTTGCTTCTCAGACCACTAAGTCACAAATTCATTAAGAAAAGCAGTTGAAGGTTGTGTAGTGGAAGGTAACCCTGGAGCAGAGATACTAGAGGAAACCTGAGCAACATGAGTATTCCAAGGAGGTTAAGGTGGCCTTCCATGAAGCTTCCAACAACAGTCAACAATATAATTGGTCTGATGACAATGAGTGCACAATAGCTTTCCCTTAGAGAATTTACATCCACGACCATAACCTTGAGCGGCAAGAGCAGAAGAGTCAACAATATCTACTAGAGGTATATGCGTCAGAGGAGGTGCTGGTAACGTAGAGGGCTTAGGTGAAATCCTAAGCAAGGTAGACATCACAGAATCCAGCGTAGGGACTGTAGAAGATCCCAAAATTTGATCCCGATTGGAAGACAAATGGTCAGGTAAACCATATAAAATGAACAACATAAAAAGTGTATTACGTTGTTCCTGTTCCTTAGTAACATCACCAGTGAGGGGCAGAAGTTCGTTAAGATCATGAAGCAAACTCTGAGCTTTCCCCAAATATTCAGTCATAGGACAATTGAAGTCCCGAGGAGCAAAGGTAGTCATCAATTTCTGACATACACCATAGATTCGTTGTGTATCATTGGTGTACAATGTCTTTGCCTGACTCCAAATAGCTTCACAGGTATTGGCAGGTCGAAAAATCTGCTTAATTGACAGATGAAGAGTAGCTTTAATGAGACTACACAACTGAGCATCAATCATCTTCCATCGTATGCGCTCATTAGCCGCCACAGACTCAGCCTTAGTAGTGAGATGGGATGTATAATCCTGCCCATCCAACCAAAGTCGCAGATCGGACGACCAAGTATCATAGTTGGACCCATCCAATTTATTCACACTCAGCGAAGCAAGAATATAATTTGAAAAAATAGTAGACTCTGACTTTTGGCCAGCCGGAGACCCAGAAACAGAAGAGAAAGGGGAATCCATAATCAAGATTAAGAAAATAATCAGAAAGACAGACAACTAACCGGTAGAAGAGGGATCTGTGCGTCAACGCAAAATGAGGTCCAAACACAAAAACAAGGCCAGATCTAGAACCGTCGCAGTGAGACGAGAAGATCGCAACCAGCCACGGCCGGAGAGGAGGCTCCATGCGCTGCCACGCGCCACCTATTTGGAGAGAGTGCCGTAGCTTTCGCACACGCGTGAGGGCGCGTGTGACGTTGTTTGGAGGTGCGACCGGTGCCGTTGTGACCGCGCTGCCGAGACGAGCACGCAGGTATGTGGGTCGCCGAAAAAATCTATCAGACGGTGGTGGTTGACGGAGCAGAGGCTTGAATGCGGAAAGAAACGTCCGGAAACTGACCACGAGACAGTTCCGGAAAAAAAATACATTTAAAAGACGATGAACAGTGGGTTCACCAGAAAAAAAAATTCAAGGTTCCTTCGGCTCTTGATACCATGTTAAATAACAAGAGAAGAGAGAAACATTGAAATAAAACTGTGTGTATTGAACTGATATACGATGTACAATATATAGACACACTAATGGACTTAGCCCAGACCTGATACAAATCCTAAAGAAATAAGAAAATAAATATTACAGATATACAAAAGATATATTCTTTCTGACAGTTCAATTGGGTGCCTCCTTACCAATGTTTTTTTTTAAAGAAAAATGTGTGCCTTTATTATACGTTGTCCATGTAGTATCAATGATTTGTGAACTTAATTCAAAGAAAGGAAGGTGCCATTGGGTGCCTCTTTGCAAAGTTCCGTGTTATTGAATTCGTGAAAGCATTAGTTTAAGGGGAAATTACTTCTGCTGTGAATGCATAAGTGATTTTCTACTGCCACACACTCATTGATATTTTTTCTTTATTTTTATCTTTATTTTATTTTTTAAAATGGTGGGACCCACCAAATTTTTGGGTCAGCCGCAAACTCCAAAATTTTGCAGTAACAGAAGAGTTGCAAAGCCCTTAGTTTATTTACTTTTATTTTTTAATCTACTAATATATAATCAACTTAACCTTAGATTTTATGATCTAACTTAGGTCGTAGATTGGTCTTTCCCTCGCTTCAAACATACATATTATCCGTAGATGGCTTTTAATTATTTTTAGTTTCTTTTTCTTAAAGAGAAGTTTAGCCAAATATTTTATAAAAATTCATATTATAAAAAAAATAATTTTATGATTCATACAAAAAAAACAGAAGCTCTTAGAGGAATTTTTTTTTAATATTTACACCATTTTTTAAAGTTATAATTTACTACATTACATAATTTATTTTTAACTTGGAACTTTAAAATAATTTTAAAACTAGAAAATTTGTGTAATTATCAAATAAGTTTTAACTTAATAAATTCTTATGTTTAACTTCAACTTAAAAATAAATTTACACTTAAAAAGCAAGCTCTAAAATAGTGACTATTGTTTTGTCATACTTAGTGAACTCTATGAAGAGTAAATACCTATCTGAACTCCCTCCAACAAGGTTTGTATGATTTTATGTCTACTCATTTGATTAAAGTAACACATAACTTAATTCCAAAGAGTTGTTAGAGAAAATGGTGTTGTTGGGTGAATCACCCCAGTATAAAATGCTCGGACAAAAAAAAAATCTAGAAATTAATTTGTAAGAAATTATGTTAGTTCATGGATGTATAGCTTTGTTAGCCTATCCAAAATGTATGCTGATCTTATTACAAAATGTTCAGACTTGACAAGCCTGTCCATAATTACCTAAATGACATCAAGACCAGATTGGTTCTAATTTGAAAATTTAGAACTAATTTTTTACCTGCAGTTTTATAGAGAAAAAAAAGTTTTCCATGATCTAGCCTTGTGGGCTAATATTTTTTCTTTTCTTCTAATTTAGTAAATAAGACGTAGCTCATGAGGCCTTAATGCCTTATAGGCTTTTGTCTTGGTAAACTTTTTAATCTTGATGGTAATATTTGGCAAAAAAATTTATTTATTGCTTTTTAATAAAATATTTACGTATTTATTACACTCTTCAAAAAATGTACATATTTATTACACAATGTGACGTCCCTTTTGGGCGTCACATGAGACGCCCCTTTCAGGCGTTACACCCTAAGGGGAGACGCCTCAATGGGGCGTCACACTTGAGCCCTATAAATACCCTCATTTTTATCATTTCACTTTTCACTCTTACTCTTACCTCTCTCTAACCTCTCTCTAACCACGGATTGTGCTCTCAATCGAACGCAGAAATTTTTGTAGTGAAGCTCTGCACACTTAGGTAAGTTCGTAATACTTGCTATGTATACATTTAAATTACAGTGCTACCTTGCGAACATGTTAGGATTTATCGTATATTAGAGACTTAGAACATAAGGATAGTCACTTAGAAATTTTGTACCATGCTATGAATGTTGAATTGATTTAGTAATTTTTTTGTTACGTAGTTATTATTATTATTATTTATTTATGCATTGGGGTTTAGCGTATTAATTAGTGATTTAAAAAGTAGTGATAGTAACTTCGTAAATTTTGTATGATGTTATGAATGCGGGAGTGTATTGATAAATTTCTAGTCACTTAGGTGTTATTATTAGTACATATTTATGAAATTATGAGTGACTTAGGGTTTAAGGTTTATGTCAGTATGATTTAATTTGTGTCTGACGTTTTATTATTATTTAATTACAAATAAATTATTGTACTACGTATTAATATTATTTCATTAATTACGATTGTAGTAAAAACGTAGGGTCTATGCTTAATATTTTTGATAATAAATTAGAGCATTGCTCGCAATTACAATTGCTTCTTGATGTTCCCTAATGAGGTTGTGCTTAAGTTCCATTTGGACATCTTTTTTTGTTGCAAATTCTTGGTTCACAAATAACTTGTCACCCAGTAGCCACGGACCTTTTATTGAACCCGATCCTGAAACCGTACCATCAGTGCATGATTCTTATTCGCTCCGATAACTCCAATCAATGTACGAATAATGCGAAATTACTTCCCAAAAAGGAATAACAGCTTCGTCACCTGCATATGATAATTACAACTTTTTAATACAAACTTCCTAAATCAGGTATTAAATCAGGTATCAATTTAGGTATATACAAATTATATCAATTACCTTCATAATGATTTCCTAATGGGGCAGAGGCAACGTCATGTAATTGCGGCATTTGCGCGACCACTGGTTCATGGTAGACTGGGATTTGAGACGCACCCATCTCACCACCTTCATCTCCTTCTGAAGCACTAGCATCCTCCGCCAGAAGACGTTCTTCCATTGCGATATTTTCATCATCATCGTCGTCTTCTTCGTCATGCATTTCCCAAGTCGAATCATTTTCATCTCCCTCAGAAAGGTTACCAACTGGAGACGCATGAGTGGCAGACGTTAATTGAAGACGGGGAGAATTTAAATCAACTGACCTCACCAGTAATGGAACATTATCCGCTGTGGCGATGTCGACATACAACTCCAAAAAATCTTTCCTTTACTGGTTGAAAAATTCTTCCATTGTCATCTCCACGTCTTTATCGTCAACCACTTGTAAACTAATGTATTTATCACATTGCCATAACATTGTCGTGATCTGAGTGATACATTGGTTGCCTTGAAGACTTAACTTCTGCCGAATTCTCTTATGCAGTTTGCCAATGGTTGCGTTGCGTTGGATACGTGTCGGCCTTTTTTCACCTTCAAACATGACACCCATTGTAATATAACACAACACGAACAAAATTAGGATGTGAACTCATTCTTAAATAGAATAAGAAATAAAATGAAAATACTAAATTAAAGAGTGGAAGGGGAATATATAGGGAAGAGGTATGAAGAGTGAGAGAAGAGGTGTGAAGAGTGAAAAGAGTGCAAGGAGAATATATAGGGCCGCACATGTGACGCCCCAATTAGGCGTCACCCTCATTGGTGTGACGTCTAATTGGGGCGTCACATTGTATAGTATATCTTCATTATTTCAAAAACTATTACAAATAAAGCAATAAATAAATTTTTTTGCCGATAATATTTACAAGATAAAATGTGAATGAGATTTTCTTTTTCTAACTCATACAACATTATGAAGATCACACTTAAATACTCCACAGTCCAAATATTTAACTAGTCTTATGCTTGATCTCATTGATAAGTTCAGTTATCGTGTGCATAGAACTCAAATACAGAATTCCACAAACTTACATATTATGAACTGAATAAGAAATTCTGGACGAGCCAGAATAATCGTATGAACATGAATATGACGTTTTATCAGTGCTTTTGTCAGAACTGTATGTCAATAATGGCCATGACCATTTTAAATCACTTATCTTCTCTTTGCCTCGTAGTGGTTTATACGAGCTGTCGTGCCCACAATTCTCTATCTCATTATTTGTTCTTTCAAGCCAGCTTTCAACACTTTTAGACTGCACGCTGTTTGAGCCAACTTGTTAATTTAATATAAAAATAAATAAATAAATAAAGTCAACTTGTTAATTCAATATCAAGACATCAAACAAAATAATTTATAATAATAATTCCAATTGGAAGGGTGGGTTTGTAGGGTGACAGCAGCGTGAGAGCGGATCTAAAACATGCCATTTTGTTTATGAATCCTGCATTTCAACCATTAAAATGCCAAAATATGCATTTTGATTCTTGTCCCTAAATTTGCAGTACTCTTAATATGTTCTACCTACTTAAATAACAAGCACGTGATTTTTAAGCTAAACTCTAAACCTTACCTAAATTTTGGTTTTTTATTTTTTTAAATTAAAAATTACTTTTACGTTAAAGTTATAAATAAAAATTTTAAAAATAAAGTTACAAATTATTTGGTAATTATACAAAAAATTTAGAAAGTTATTTATTTAAAAAAAAGTACACATTCAAAAAATTGATACAACTTAAAAAAACATTCTCTTCAAGATTTTTTTGACTTTTTTCTTTGTTATAATTTTTTATTATTATAATTTTTTTTTTGTAAAAAACATGTTTGGAAAGAAGAAAGTAAGAAATAAAAAATACAAACATGGACTCACTTAGGTGGATAGGGAAATTTTTTTGAGATTCCGGATAAAGTAATAATGATGATCCTATTTAACCACTTTGAGATAAAGTTTCTGAAAATTTTCCTGAATTTTTTGGAATTTATTTTGTATACAATTTTTTTACAAAATATCATTGAAAACTCTTGTGTTGAAAAAACTTTACATTTTTTTGCAAAAATTTGGATAATATTTTAACTTATCAAATAATTCTTCAGTAACATTTTCGAAAAAATAACTTTTCCACCACATTGTTAAAAATTATGATTCCCAACATAAAAAATTTATCCTATATCAAGAATATTATTGAAATACCATTGATTTTATTCAGGATGATTATGTAAATATTTAATTCCAAATTGAGAAAATTCGAAACAATTAAAATGTTTTTTTTGGAGATTGAATAGTAAATTTTCAGTACTTAAAAATAATTTTTATATTTGAGTTAGTTGTAAGACAAGAATAAGCCAAAAATAATTAAGAGAGAGAAGAATATAAAGAGCGAACGAAACATTGGAAATAAAAATGGAGAAAAAGGAGCGAGAGAGAAGAGAAGGGGGGGTGATGTTTACCGGATTTGTTCCCGAAGACGATGTAGGGGAAGGTGGCCAAGTAACCGAGTCCGAACGAGGAAATCGAACAGCGTGTTCAGCCGTGCTGTGTTGCAGAGTATGAGCTCGGTGGAGCCCAGCTCCAGAACCCCATTCTCGGAGGGTATGGCAACCAAGGTTCGAATCCCAAAGTGGTGGGCCCTCTTGGTCCTCTGCCACGTGGAAGCCAATAACTGATCTGCGCCTGTTAACCAAACGGGACTCGAATTGAAGAAAGCGTGTCCGGGCAAGTCCTCTGTGTCGGCGAAGGATTGACTCATCGATATCTTAAAGAACCATTCCTCGTCGCTGACCGTGACCGTGACAGACGACCCGAAAATGCGAAGCTGCTTAGACGACGACGCTTTGGGGTTGTAGTGGCCATCGTGGAAATTCAAGAGGGGGCGGTTAGAGGAGGAGGAGCGCCAGAGGATAGCGTAGGTCCAGGTCTGTGTGTCTGTGGTGTCCTCAATCAGCGCCTTAAGGTGGGACCCATGCATCAGCTGAAGACTCAGGGTCAGGGAGAGAGTGTTGTCTTCTCTCATTTTTTGCGGCAACCCATACTCTCTCATTCCATTTGTTAGGGTTTAATTTATGGGGATATCACTTCGGGGAAAAAAATTTCCTTCTAATTCTTCGAGATAGCGCTGTTTTTTTTTTAAAAAAAAAAATAAATTGAATGGGCCCGCCAGGACATTGTGTCTACCACCGAAGATGTCACCCATAATTTATATATAATTTGGAGTGCAATTTTTAAAGTTGAATTTTAAGTTCCATGCACTATGTGAACCTTCCAGCAAATGGGAACCACATTCATGTCGGTGAAGAATATAGATTTCTAGTACTTTACATATTACACCCACTTAAATCAAAACACATTGAGTCTCATTTCTTGGGATAATTTGAGCCTTCCTTAAGGACTTTGGTGGGTTACGAATGAAGCACAATGAAGCCTTTCTTCATTAGTTCATTTGGAATCTGATTGAGTCTCATTACGGAGATAAAATGTAAACCTTAAGACAGTGGGTGAAAAATCACCAATAGTTTTTGAATCCGTATAACTAAGATGTTATAATTAATTCTTCAATCAAAGTAATAAACAGAGTAAAGAACAAACTCATTGGTTATCAAAATTGGATATAAGTATGCAGACAGAATTGAAGGAATCCAAGCCCAACAAAAGTTGTCTCCTTAACAAAATTTGCCTCCTTCTATTGATGTCGAAAGTTGAAGAACAATTGTCTCCTAGGACAGAACGGATTGCGTCTCCAGAATGTGATGGCACTACCAATCTGGGGGCCCAACAAACAACCAAATGACTGAGTAATCGCACTATTAAGTGTATGTCAGAATGCACCTAAGTCTACGAATGTATGGAGGGTTTAAGAAAAAATTTGGGTTACATATTTTTGAAGGTTGAACGTCAATATATTGATGCTGATTGGACACGATGAATCGACGCCTGCGAACCGGTGAATCGCCGTCGGCGAATCGTCACAATAGATAATAGTGAATCAGTTAAAATGATCAAATCGGCGGGAAGAAACCCAACACCCCTTTTTGATTCAAAACGATGGGGAGTAACGTTTCGTTTCAGTTTGAAAATTGGAGGGAAGTAACGTATAAGACAAGGGTATTTTGGACAAAAGATAAAAAATTATTTAATAAAAGATTATTTATTTTTCTCACACACACGAGCGAATCGAACCGAGCCGACGAGATGGCGACGGCGCACAACGTCCTCTCTCCTCCACGGAAGTGGAGTGCCCCTAAGGGGCAAACTAAGAGGTGAGGTGGAGGTTTATAAACCTTTACACCTCTCACGACTTGTCTAATGTGGGACTGCTACCCACACACCCCTTTCAACTTCACTTTTTTTTTCCCTTCCCTAACCTACTTCTTATTCATAAACCATGAATTTTAGACACAAATTTTAACAATGAATCTCATCTCTGGAAAAGTATCTGCAAAATATGGCCAAATGCCTTAAATTCCTGAGCGTGGCAGATTGGAGATCGCACATCTGTGAACTTCTGGTATGAGAACTGGACAGGTTTGGATCAGATTTTGCTATCTCTTGCAACCTCTCCTTCTAATCCCGAAACCTTATGTAATAAGGTTGTAGAGTATGTCATTCTCAATGGTGACTGGAATTCTGCCTTCTTTAACAAGTACTTTCCGTCGGATATAGTGAATGTGATTATGACAATCTTCCCCCTAACCCGCATAGATCACTTGTCTTGGAAAAATTGAAGCCCCAATCAATCCCTTATCAACATTGCCTACAAAAATCTCATGAAGACTACTGATGCCACCCCTAATAGAGCTTGGGATAGAATTCAGAAGTGGAAAGGCCCTGAAAGAATAAAGTTTCTCCTTTGGAAACTGAGACATGGTAGACTGCTGACTAGGAAAAAATTGCCAAGTGGGGCAACAATACTGATAGATGCACATCTTGCTATGACAAAGTGGAGGATTTATTACATGCCTTCCGTGACTGTCCTAAAGCCCTTGCCATCTGGAACCTCAAGTTACTCCACCCCCTTCCCCCTAACTCTTATGTTTGCTCTTCTTTTCAAGAATGGTTAAATATGAATTTGTGCTTCACTAAAAGGAATAGGATGGACTGGAGAAACTATGTTTTCCTAGCTTGCAACTTCTTATAGACATGGAGAAACATTGAGATTCATGGTGAGGACTTCTATAGGCCAACAAATCCTCAGCTTTGCATCTCCTTTCTCTTGAATCAGATCAATTTAAGAAGATCCCAAAGTTTCTGCAATGGTAGCAGTTGCTCTACTGTTACTACCATACCCATCTCGACATGTTCTGACTTTGACACTGCCAAGCTCAACGTTGATGGAGCTGTGTCTAATGAAAAGGCCGCTTATGGTGAACTTCTTTAGAGATTTTAAAGGAACCTGCCTAGGAGGTTTCTATTCCTTTTCGGGCACTTGCTCCCCCCTGCTATCTGAAATCTGGGTTGTTTATTATGGATTAAATTTTTCCTGGGACAACGGGTGGAGGAAGATTAATATTGGAAGTGACTCTCTTCATGTGGTTAACTTACTTACCTTGAATGGTAATGACACTTGAAAGCTTTTTCTGGTTGCTAAAATTGGAGTATTACTTAATAGAGACTAAATTGTTTCTATCTCTCATATTCCGAGAGCTCGCAATAAATGTGTGGACTGGTTAGCCAAAGAAGCCATCAACAAGAACATTGGTCTCTCTGCTATTTCTTCTCCCCAGCATGATCTGCAGATGCTCCTCAGAGCTGACTGCTCTTCCGTTTTAATTTGTTGTCTTTGTTTTAGTTTAGCTGTTTTTCCTTTTTTGCTGTTTTTTCTTTTCTGGGGCTTCTACCCCGCTTATGTAACCAAAAAAAAAAATGAAAAAAGTTATTGAGAAATTCACATAAGTGCATTTGCGCCCATATTTTATTGGTAATTTTTTATTTTTAATGTGACGTGAATTCATATACTTCTAATTTAAATAGGTATATTATATATTACAATTACAAGGGTATAGAAAATTCATCGGTGTAACACTTATTTTATCTTTGGTGAGTCAATGAGTAATATTCTGGTACTGAAGATTCCTTTGATTATGATGAACAGGAGTCAAGCGGACCTGTGTTTTAGATTTTAGCTTATTGATTCTTTCTGTTAATTTTGTAATAATTCTTTTTAAGAGTGGAACAGTCAGCTTTACTACCCGCAATTTATGTCATCATAGCTTCCCATATAAAAGTCGACATGTTTTGATCTGTCACGGAATTCGAGTGTCGAAAGAGTAGGAGTTTTGTTTTTTGATCTGTCACAATAATGGTTTATTTTCACCTTAACAATGAGCAGAGTTAAGCCACGAGAAAGCCAGGACTGATTAATAAGAGGAGTGCCAATTGGCAAGAGATTCATAAAACCAAGACCATTATTAAATTCTCAATTCCATTGTCAAAAGTGAATAGGGTATAAAAAAAGGTTTTATAATTCTCATTTAACATGAGAATTCTCATTTCCGTGCTAACATGGGTCCTACATATAATTTTTTCTAACACGTAGGTCCCACATGCTTTTTATCTCTACAACATGAGAATTGAATTCTCATTTAACATGAGAAAATCAAACTCCATAAAAAAATGGGACGGTTAAGTTTATAACTTGTTTATAAACTCTTATAACCTCAATTATGGCAAAAAAATTAGTTTAATGCTTTTTAATAAAATAATTACGCATTTATTACAATTTTAGAAATAATTACAAATCTATTACACAATGTAACACCTCTTTAAAACGTCTCATCCTAAGAAGAGACGCCTCGTTGGGGCGTCACATGTGACGCCCACAACGGGCGTCACACTTGCATGCTTTGGTGACAGTTTTCAAACATCTTTTTGAATAAGGTGCCAATTTTTCTCAACCATAATATTATTCGCCTCCTCACTCCATTTTAAATTCGACGGCTGAGGCTTTTAACCACCGGCAAACTTGTTTACGAGCTAAATTAAATACAACAAAATGTCCTTGTCAACGCTTTTTAAAATAGTAGCTTATCATGTAACCCCAAAATGTCCTTCACACTTCATTCTTACGAACTCTATATCTTTATAGAATTTTTTTTTCCTTGTAAACGTTCACCCATAGAATTATATATGGGAAATAATTGTCTCATTTTACATGAGATAACTATCTCATATTTCTCTCACACAAAAAGTTATGACATCATTTTTTCTTTTTTCTTTTTTCTTTTTTTAATGGATGGTGGGCTCCACCATATTATGTATCTATAGTAGGAGATACTTATCTCCTACAACATGAGAAAAATACGACCCATTATATATTTGTGATAAAGAGCAAAAGTTTTTGAGTTCTCATACCAACCAGTTCATCTAATAAAAATAATTAATAGATTTGGGGGCTGCACCTGGATATTATGTTGAAAAAAAAATTACATATCCTTTTTAATAATTTTACATATCCTTAAAAGTATCTCCTCATATAAGTTTCTCAAATTAACCACACATATGACCTAACACAGAACGCAATTTGGGGGCTGCACCTGGATCCTGAACCATATATGTTCTTCAAATTTCAAACGTTGCCCATAAAAAAATGAAAATAGAAAAGGAACAATAAGCGAGGGATAAAAATTAACTTGGCTCCTCAGTAAACTTTAAATAACAATCAATAGGAAAGACATATAATATTAATAAACAAAATTTTAGTCTTAACAAAAAAGAGAACAAACGCAGACACTACATAAAAGAGGAGAGAGGGACCAAATAAAACGAATGTAGACTAGGAATTTTTTTTAATTTTTTTTTAGAAATATGTTGTGCACAAAAAAAAAAAAAAGATTCGTCTTTTTTTTTTTTGTAAAAGGAAATCTCATCTACTTTTGTGTATATTACAGAAAAAAACATATTCCCCATTTTTCTATATGTAAACCAAACCTATGAAGAGACTATAAATAATACCAAAAAAAAAAACAACTGAATTTGAAAAAAAAAAAAAAAGCCATGAAATTGCCTACAATCAACGTTTGATCGGTTAGTGCCACTACCTCAAACTTTGATCTGAGTCGTCCATTGATGCCTACGTGATTGCGGGATAAGCATAAAGTCCATATCCCAGTATTTGATTGGCATTAGTGT